GAAACAGGTGATGGGAAAAATTTGCTAATTTCAGTAAAAGTTTCTATCTGTAATTATGCCTAGAATAGAGGATGAAAGATCAGTAATCCACCTGCTAACCACAGAGAAATTCATGTTTGTCTGATCCATCATGCATGTGGCATGTTCGGACCATGGAATTTCATGTTGATGGAATCTATTTAAATTACATATTCATTGGTTAATAATTGCTTCAAGAGTATTTTTCTGTGAGAAATTTCTGATTTTTGAGTGTGATGATAGGAAAATCTTCGAAGTCAGAGTGAATAATTCTTTGTGTAAATATGCCTTGTTTGGTGTATGAATGATCTGTATTCCACATGCTGAAAACTCAGAAGTACATGTTTGTTGAATCTGTCATGTTTGAAATATGAACGGACCACGGAAATTCATGTGAGTGGAATCTATGTAAATTACATATCCATTGGATAATAATCGCTCCAAGTGAATTTTCCTGTGAGAAATTTCTGATTTTTGGTTCTGATGGTAGGAAAATTCTACGAAGTCATAGTGAATATTTCTTAGAGTAAATATGCCTTGTTTGGTGGATGAAAGATCTGTAATCCACATGCTCATAACTCAGAAATGCATCTTGGTCAAATCCGTCATGCATGTAGCATGTTTGGAACATGGAATGTCATGTTGATAGAATCTATGTAAATGACATATCTATTGGATAGTAATCGTTCCAGGAGTATTTTTCTGTGATAAATTTCTGATTTTTGATTCTGATGAAAGGAAAAATCTACAAAATGAGATTAAATATTTCTAAGTGCAAATATGCCTCATTTAGCGGATGAAAGATCAATACTCCACCTGCTCATATGTCAGAAATGCATGTTTGTCCAATCTGTCATGTATGTAGTATGAATGGACCACGGATATTCATGTGAATGGAATCTATGTAAATTACATATCCATTGGTTAATAATCACTTCAAGAGTATTTTTCTGTGAGAAAGTTCTGATTTTTGAGTTTGATGATAGGAAAAATCTTCGAAGTCAGAGTGAATAATTCTTAGTGTAAATATGCCTTGTTTAGTGTATGAATGATCTGTATTCCACATGCTGAAAACTCAGAAGTACATGTTTGTTGAATCTGTCATGTTTAAATATGAACAGACCACAGATATTCATGTGAATGGAATCTATGTAAATTACATATCCATTGGTTTAATATAGCTCCAAGAGTAATTTTCTGTGAGAAATTTCTGATTTTTATTCTGATGTT